ACCCACCGAAAATCAGCTGTGAGGCGCGCGCATGTACAGTGAGCTTGTGTGCCGGCACAAATGGCTCTGAGGTGCAGTGCAGGTAAGGGGGCAGCGGGGGTGGATGGGTGGAGGTGGGGATTACACGCACATGCGTAGGGTGTGTGTGTGGGGGCCCGCATTGCCTTCTGGGTGCTGGCACGCGAGCGCGAGTGTGCAAGCCCGTGCACAACTTTTTGGCACAGGAGCCCCAAAAAGATAAGCATCACTGCACTAGGCTCATATTTAATGACCGTTACGATGCATTGCCGTTATATGATCATAATTTGTGAACTTGCCAGCCAGCTCCCAGACAAGCAAAGTCAATTGAGGAAAGCCAGATGCACTTCACGACTATGATTTACTTAATGACCATAGTATAAATAATTGTAAAACCTGGGCTCGCTCGTGGGAGGCCTCGCTCATCAAACAAAATTCCAGTTCCAATTGTGGTTGTAAGTCGAGGACTACCGATGTTTCCGATGGAATGCGAGGTCCCAGAATGGTGGGCGGCGCAATTGGGAGCAATCCTTTACCTCTGCCCCCACCCCCCCTCTTCTCCCAGGTGCCAATGTAACGGCCACGCTGACTATTGCCACGAACTGGATGGGACGGGCTGCCCGTGCCAAAACAACACAGAGACCGGAGGCTGCCAGAACAGTGCCCAAGCCGATAAAAAGGACTGCTACAAACAACAGGTAAAGGAGTGGAGTGGGAGGAGGGGCTCTGGGTTCAGGCTGGGGGGGGGTGGGGTCTTATCAAGACCCCACCCCCTTTGGGAAGGATCCCAAAGAAAAAGGACTTGTCCTGGAATGAGCAGAAAGGGAAGTTCATTCAGAGGGAGGGCAAATTAGCAGAGCACGAAATCAAGGACCATTGCTCGGGACGTTGTCCTACACCAGGGATATCAAACTTGGGGTCCGGGGCCCGGATCAGGCCTGTGGGATGCTTAGATCTGGGCCGCAGGCCCACCCTGCAAACAAAGAAGGAACAAGGTACCGTCCCGCGGTGCCTGTGCCGGCAAAAACAGAGCTCCATTTTTGGTCGCATGGGGCAGGAGGCCGTCCCAGCCAAAAAACAGAGCAGAGGCCACCAGAGGTGCTTGTCAACTCATAAAATATTTCTCTGGTCTTTTTAGAGTTGCCAACAGGAAGGGAGGTGGGAGTAACGTAGCAGCTTGCAAAAACCGAAACTGCATTCCATAAATGTTTTTCAAAGATAGTTTCCAGATGACCAAGCTTTCTGCCATGTGAAATTCTAACTGGAGAGCCTGATCGATGACTCTGGGCTATGGAGGTGTCCCGTTGGAGAATATGAATTACGATACACCCAGGAGGTGGGGGGGGGAACCAGGGTCAAGGGTGACAATGAATGACGTGTCTCAGAGTCGGCTACACCCAGGCAACGCCGGACAGTTTAATTCCCAATAAATCCTTTTGAAGTTTTGGAAGTTTGGCTCGAGACTCATGATTTAAATGAGGGTCACTACCGGAGCCCTGACAGCACCCCCAATATGAGTGAACATGTCCCCTGTCCCCCCACCCCCCAAAGATCAAACCCACCCCTGATGCGGCCCTCAATGAAATTTGAGTTCGACTGTGCAAATTTAAGTGTCCCCCCCACCAACCCCTTCTGGGATGAATGGAGGCTGAACAGGACCAATCACCGCCCAACAAATATTTATTGGCTTAGTATCTGTCTTTTATTGATGGAGCTAGTAACAGGCAATCCCAAAGGCCCGCCATCACAAATAACCTGGAGCACGTTAACATTTCTTCAAAGAGGATGGGATTCTGGGAAGGAATTGTACATTTTACGTCCCGTTTTTGTGCTTGGAGTAACCATCAGGACCACTTTTGTATTCTGAGTACAAAAAATGCATGTTACGGGCCTGCATCGGCTTTCCAGACCCCGTTGCACTGATCAAAGAAGCAAAATAAATTTAAGGTCCACTAATAAGTATTACTGGGTGCGGGAAATGAGATATACCATGTCTTAAAACTGTCTTAAAGTTGCCACGTTTGGAGACTCCTGGTTTTCAAATATGGCTCACAACTTGAGTAGGGAAGAAGAGTTCAAAATAGTTGGAGTCGCTTCCTATAAATCTGCCTGACGTTTTTTTTTCTTCTTCTCTCCCTTCCACAGTGCGCCAAATGCCGGGAATTCTTCCACGGGAATCCCGTGGGCGGCCACCAATGCTACCGGCTGATCATTGTCGATCAGGAGAGCTGCTTCGACCCAACGTCTCAACTCAACTGCTTTCACGAGCCAAACATCAAGAACTTGCTCTTCGGACGCTCGGTTTTTTTCGGCGTCCAGCCCAAGTTTACCAACGTGGACATCCGGATCACCATCGACGTGACCTTCGGCGGAGTGGACGTCTACATCTCGACCTCCTACGAAACGTTTGTGGTGGACGTTGACCGGGCGACCGGCATTCACCTGGTGAGGGTTGTCCCCACGGGGGAAGAGACGTCGGCGCGCAGCAACGGGAGCCAGTCTTCCCCGCTGGTACGGGAGGCGCAGGCGCACGGCTTGATCACTTACATTACCGTGAGGGAGCAGCAGGCGGTGCTGATCGTGCGGGGTGTCCGAGACCGCGTAGTCATCACTTACCCGCACGAGATCCACGCCCTGAAATCCAGCCGCTTTTACGTCATCTTGCTGGGCATCGGCGGCGGCAGCCCCAACGTCACCGAGTCTCAGGGCCTGCTCTTCTTCCGCCAAGACCAGGCGCACATCGACCTCTTCGTCTTCTTCTCCGTCTTCTTCTCGTGCTTCTTCCTCTTCCTCTCCGTCTGCGTCTTGCTTTGGAAAGTCAAGCAGTTCCTGGACTTGAGGCACGAGCAACGGCGCCACTTGCAGGAGATGACCAAGATGGCCAGCCGGCCTTTTGCCAAAGTGACCATCTATTTTGAGCCGGATAATTTGGGGGCGCCGGCCGAGCTGGTTTTCCTCCCCGCTCGCCCTCACAAACTCCCCTCTCTGGCAGCGGCCCAGCCCCTCCCCAGCCGCTTGAAACCCTATCACGAAGTCCCCTACCCCGTGGCCCATTTCCGCCGCTCAGAGCCCTTCCTGTCTCATCTCATGGGCTACTCCTACTCCAGCTTCCGGGTGGGGCCCATCACTTTGGAGCCGACAGACGACGGCATGGCCGGTGTGGCTACCGTCCTCTTCCAGCTACCGGGCGGGCTGCAGGCCCCCAACCGTGCCTGCCTAGGCTCTGCTCTCGTCACCCTGCGCCACAATCTCCAGGACTACTGTAGCAGCAGCCATGGCATGAGCAGCTCTCGGAAGGGCCTGCTCAGCCACGAGAACCTCACCAGCATGTCCCTATGAGTGAGTGGAGAACTCCGCCCTGCGGGGGCTCCAGAGGGGCCCCAGCGACCTTCACCTGCCTCGTGGAGGGGCTGAGAAGGGCAGGACCTGCAGGCTGGTACGTCGTCGGCACAGACCTTCCTGCCAGCTGGAGAGGTGTCCACCAAATGGGGAAAGCAGAGACGCTCTTCGGGGCTTGCGTGCCCGCTCTCCTGCCCTCCTGCGTGGGGCCAACTCAGTATGAATGGATGGTACAGGCTGCGGGGATCTAGAGACCGTGGCGACTTTACGACTTGCGGACTTCAACTCCCAGAATTCCTCAGCATGGCCGGCTGAGGAATTCTGGGAGTTGGAGTCCACAAGTTGTAAAGCCGCCAAGGTGTGAGACCCCTGGTATAGGGGGAGTGTGCACGTGCCCCCCCCCCCCCAGCCTCACTCTTAATGACCGCGTTTCCCCAACACGCTTAACCAAGTCCTGGTGTCCACGTTGGTGCAACATGCTCAGCTTTGGGTTAGTATTCACCGGTGGCTCTTCTGCGTCTTCATACGTGTGAACCCCGCTCCTTTGTTTAGCCGATGTTTCCATATACAGGGCAGAAACCCAGGAGAACCAAGCAGCTCCGCAGTTTCCACCGAGCAGACTGTGTGAAGGCCGCCTGGGATCGAGCCCCCAGGCCAGGCTTGTCCAAAAGTGGGTGTAGAGATGGAGGAAGGACGGCCTTTCAACCTTGGATTGTTCACAGCCTTGCTTTCCCAGCGCTGTGTGGAGACCCCGCTAAGATCTCACATCGGCTTGCTTTCTACCCGGTGTTGCTGCCAATCGGCCAGAACTATCAGGCGTCCCACCTCCGTGGGCGCCACGAATCCCCAAACACTTTTAAAGTATAGTTGGCTGGCAAAAACTTCTCTTGGATTTCAGATTGTCTCTGTTCGAGAAGGAGTAAATGAATCATGTCAGTCTGGAGTGGAGGAGCAGGAAAAATATCCCAAACAAATCAGTGCAAAAAAAAAATAAAATTGAATTGCACGTTGGGCAATTCTTCTACCCAGCCTGCGGTTTTGTTTAACACGAATGAGCTTTGGGGTTGATAGACATCTCCCTTTCAAATTAGAAGCAGCAGCAGGAGGAGAAAGATGTACCTTCGATGCCTGGGAGATAATCATGCTTTGGGTTTTGCCGTAGCCTCTTGATCTTGAAGGGCTGGTTTGTTGCAACGTCGGGTGAGCTGCCGCGTGGTGATTAAAATCGCTAATCCCACGCTGGATGGGAGTGAACGAACGGAAAGCCGGGTGCAGAAGCCACGTTAATGCCAAGCGGCTAAACTGGTCAGAATTAGGGAGCCGTTGCTGGTTTTTTGTATCAAGTTGCCCTCGACGCCGCTGTGAGGGTCCAGGTGCGGCGCTGAAAACTTGGTGTGATGGGAGGGATCAGGGAAATAGGGGCGGGGGGGAGCGTTGCTTTCACTTCAGAGCAAAGGACAGAGTTATTGCCTCCTGCTGCATACCCTGTGTGGCTGCCTCCGCCTCTTCTTTGAAGCCCTTTTGTTCCGCTCTCAGTCCGACGTTGTCATTCCTTCCCGACAGGTCAGTTTTTTCTTTCCTGGTTAATTGTGAAGTGGGCTTCATGGATGCCAAGGTGGCTTAACAGGGACTTTTCAACTCGCGTGCCATCTGGCACGTAGCACAGGGGCAGCAACAGCAGCTAGACAGCCAATCTTCGCACACAGTCCCCTTGGAAAGAAGGAAGAGAAAATAACCATCAATCGTTGTTTGTCAACTTCGAAAACTTTCAGAGGTGTGGACTTTTAACTCCCAGGTCCCAGATCTTGGGGAATTCTGGGAATTGAAGTCCACATACCTGAAAGTTCTCGAGGGTTGAAGGATGCTGCTATAAATTATCCAGTGTAACAGATGCTATTTAACTTATTGTCTATGGTAGCTGCGCCTTCCCAATTCCAACCGTCTCCAAGTCAAAATAAATGAAAAAAAAAAAAAAACCCAACTGATCTCTATTTTCTGGCTTCACTTTTCATTTTTTTTAAAAAAAGATCTACCAAGCTCTCTCTCCGGGCCAAAACAAGAGATCTCGCCCTCCCTCCCCGCCCCAGGATTTCAAATCGGCAGGAAACCAACCGGCACCGATGCCCAAGTGAACGGGATTAACTTTTTAAAAGTTAATTAAAATCTGCTCTCCCAACACTTGGCAGGATTGCAGTTTCCTTCCGCCTTTCTTCGCAGCTTTGCCTTCCCGCCCGGTTCTCTCCAGCTGCAAAAACCTCTCTGGATAAAATGGCAAGCTAGGGAAAGCCAAGGAAATACCTCGATACGGAGCTGTTCTCGTAAGGCTGTCCGGGCGGCCACCCAGGCTCCTGGGAGACACGGCAGGCAGCAGCATTCGCCGAGACTCGACGACACTTGGCAGGCCAGGATACAAGGACAAAGGCTACCGCAGATGCCTGAGGGAGCAGGAAGGCGGCAGTTCAATTTGACAAGCCCCACACTTGTCCCCGCGCGTTATCTAAGCGTCAAGGCTTCAGACCAGCGACGTAAAGCGGCACGATGCTCCTTTGATGATACAGATCTTACCTCCCGGATAGCGGTGGGTTTTCGAAACTTTTTCCTACCAGTTTGGTGGGAGCGTGTGCTTTTCACACAGGCGGCATTTGCAACCCACCTGCAAGCCCTGTGTGTAAAACAGCCAACGTGCAGCAATCGGCTGTGCCGCATGAAGCAGCTGAGGTTGAAAAGCGGGAAAGAAAGGTCTGTTTAGACCAGGGGTGTCCAACCATGGCAACTTTAAGACTTGTGGACTTCAACTCCCAGAACTGGGAGTTGAAGTCCACAAGTCTTAAAGTTGCCAAGGTTGGACACCCCTGGTTTAGAAGGAGGGCCAAGCAGCTGATCGTTGGAGCGAACCGGTTGGCTCACAGATGATCCTCGGAGTTACCGGTTCGGCTGAACCAGGCAAAACTAATAGCGTACCACCACTGCTCCCAGGTGGATTAAATGAGTAGCGAAACAAGGATGCCACCGGGGAAAAATTGGTAAGTACCGGTAATCCTCTACTTAAAACCACTCGTTTAGTGACCAAAGTTTACAGCAGCGTTGAAAAAAAAAGGTGACTTGTTTTTTTTCCACGCTACCGTTGCCATGTGATCCAAATTTGGACATGTGGCGACCGGTATGCATTTGTTTATAGCAGTGGCACTGTCCTGGGATCATGTGATCACCCTTCGTCACCTTCCCAGCCGGCTTCCCAACAAGCAGAGTAAATTGGGGGGGGAGGGGCAGATTTGCTTAACAACCGAATGACTCGCTTAATGACCAAATGATTCATGAATCGATTGCAGTGATTCGTTGAACAACAGTGGCAAGAAGGTGAAAGGAGCCACAGCTCACACAACAACGGCCTCATTTAGCAACGGAAGCCAGGTTCACTTAGCGACAGCTTCACAGTGGCAGCGCTTCGCTTAATGACAAGTGCCCGAAATGAGGCGTGACTCGACAATGGCCTCGTTTAAGCCACGGAAACCTGGCGCTCGATTGTGGCCGTAAGTGGAGGATTACCCGTAGCCGCCTCTCTGCGGCGAGGATGGCCGGCCTGTGGTGCTACTTGGTAGAATCTCCAATGATAAAATCTCCCAGTGGGTGCCAGGCCCAAAAGTGGGTGCCAGGCCCAAGGGAAGGGTGGCTTTGGTCTAGCAGAAGAAAGTTGGAAGGGGGGCACTCAGGGTCCCCTCTCTCCCAGGTCGAGTCCTTGGGAGATACTCACAAATCTGTTTGTCCGCACAGCAGTCGGTCAAGCTGCTTTTCCAGTCACGATACGGGGCTTGACCTTGTCTGGTGTCGGACGAAGGGTTGCAGGAGGACGGTTGGGTGGTGCAAGGCTGTGAGGACACCACGGGAAACGACCGGAATGCCATGGCACTGATGTTCTAGTTGATGTTCCAGAGAATGGAATCGCTTGTGGCTGCTAGTTGTCGTTGGGCGTCTCTTCCCAGTCAGGACTTCCAGGCGGCAGCAGCTTCTCTGAACCCCAACAACTTGGAGACGCCGGCAACCAACCTAACCGAGGTGGAACCTCCGACGACTCCCGACGTTCTTGGAGCTGGGATTAAAAAGCTCCTGGAATATATCACGGCAGTGGGTGTGTAAGCCACCAACTTTGGGAACACCCTCTGCACAATTTGATCCATGAATCTCACTGGCTGGTGTGTTTTTTGCGTTTTTTTTGGACGGGTGTGTTGCATTTCCAAATTCCTGCCTTCCCTCCTCCCAAAAACACACAGCGGTGGGCTGCAATTATTTAATGACTAGCATGAAGTCCCGTGCCTGTCGTCTTTGATTTACGACCACAATTGCAACCAGAATTTCCTCTGCTTATAAGCAGGGCACTTAAAATACATCCAGCCAATTTTACAATGGTGGTTTAGCAAATCACGGCTCATTGTTAAGCAAATCACACGGGCGTGATCGGAATCCGCTTCCCCCCCCCCCCATTGCTTGGAGGAAGCGGGCTGGGAAGGTCACGAGGTGATTCCTTCATCCTGGGACTCTGAAAGGGTTGTGGATGAATGCAGGCTGGTTGCCAAGCACCTGGATTTTGATCACATGATCACGGAGACGCTGGGACGGTCGTAAGTGTGAAGACTACACATAAGTCGCTATTTCAGTGATCAATAAATGGTTGTAGATCCCGATACGTCCTTTCCCAGGGTGGGAACATGATGGCAGACAATGCAAATGGGCCGGAGGCTGGAGCGTGTAACCGAGTTTATTTATTTGAGTTTTATTTATTAATATTGAATTTACTGATCATTGAGTTTTATTTCTCTCAAGTTTTATTTATTTACTTAAAACATTGATACAGCCTCTGTCTTACAACTCCCAACTCTCATACATACATACATACATATACATGTAAATATATACATACATACATACATACATGTACATATACACATCTCTACATATACATGTACATATACTCTCAATCCAAAGTAAAAATAAAATAAAACCACAATAAACCTATAAAACTAAGCACATTAAAAATACTGAAACAACAGAAACCCAGGGCCAAGTCCTAAGTCGCTGGGTGTTCCAGAACCACAGTGGATTTGTCTGAAATGGTATAGGATCTCCTGGTTAAGCAGGGGGTTGGACTAGAAGACCTCCAAGGTCCCTTCCAATTCTGTTATTCCGATTTCCAATACGGCGTACTGTGGAAATCAGCATAAGAACGAAGGGAAGAAAATATTTACAGCTTAGGTTGAATTATGGGGTCCTTGGTGGTCTCGAAGTTGGTTGTTTTCTTGCAGACATTTCGTTACCCAGCTAGGTAATGTCATCAGTGCTAGTTTGGATTCTTAGCACCGATGACCTTACCTAGTTGGGTAATGAAACATCTGCAAGGAAATATAACCAGGCTCAGAGAGCACCAAGGATCCCACCGTTCCCTTCTCTTGGTAATCATTCTTTTTGTCAGCATTCCAGAAAACTTTCACACCAACAAATAACTCCGAGACAGGCATCCTCTCCAAAGTTCTGTTTTATTTGGGTAGTAAATTGGCACATCTGGGGAATCCGGAATCTGAAAGTTCCAGGTTTCCTTGGAATAAGTAAAAACTACAAATCCACCCCCTGCACCCCTCATAGTATCACATGCCCCAACCACCATCCTTCCCAACTTGAGACGTCCTCTCATCCAGGTGCAGAGATAACATGACCTTGACTGAGAAGAAGAATGTTGTTATGTCGAACCACATACACTCCAAGAAATCCCCCCTCCCATTTTCCCAGGCTCAAGAATGTGGCAGCGTGGAAGCGTCTGGTGCTAATATGGCTTCCAAAACTGACCCCTTTCAGGAATCTAGAAATTGTAGGACGCTACCTTCGTATTTTTCAGGTCTATACCCTTAATTTTGCTTCCCTATTCTTGCAAACACCTAGTCCTCCCAAAAGTCATCATGGGATGCAGGTTTTACAGATTTGTTGAACGTCAATAACTCCAGAAACCAGAAAATATTTGCGAGGATCGCATAAAAAGTGACCAGCGTTTTGTGATACCTCAGAACTCTCTGGAAAACACAATTAGAAGGAAACCACTTGCAGGAGATCCAACAATGTTAAACCCCTACAAGAAAGGAAGTCCACTTACATACAAGGCTTGAAGTTGACCACAGACATGTTTCTGATTGGAAAGAGCGCGGAACATGTTTCCTGAGTCAATATCAATTAGTTATGACTGTTGTTTATCCCTGGGAAATCTAATTAATCTTTCCATATTTACATCTCTTTCAAAATAATACTCTGAGCAACCACAGTTGAGTAAAGCTGTCTGGTACAGTACTAGAGAAAGAATTATGAAGAGCTGCTACTCATTGTGGCAGACTGGTGAATGCTCTACACCAATGCTTCTCAACTTGGCAGCTTTTAAGTTGGGTGCACTTCAGCTCCCAGAATGCCCCAAACTGGCTGGGGAATTCTGGGAGTTGAAGTCCACCCAACTGAAAGCTGCCAAGGTTGAGAAACGATACACACAATAAGAAAGCAACTGGTGGAGTTCTGGACAAATGTGTTGTTTCATCCACCAAATACAGGTAGTCCTTGACGTAGCAATCACAATTGAGCGCCAAATTTCTGCTGCTAAGCACTAATTTTGATCTGTTTTACGACCTTTCTTGCCACAGTTGTTAAGTGAATCACTGAAATTCTTCAGTTAATAACATGGTTGTTAAGCGAATCTGGCTTCCCCATTGACTTTGTTGTCAGAAGGTCTCAAAAGGAATCACATGACCTTGGGACACAGCAACGGTCATAAGTATGAGTCACCTGCCGAGCATCTGAATATAGATCAGATGATCATAGTGTCAGGATTCCGGCAATTACCCACAATTAAATCATGAATCTCGAGCCAAACTTCCAAAACTTCAAAAGGATTTATTGGGAGTTAACATGTCCGGCATTGCCTGGGTGTAGCCGACTCTGAGACACATAATTCAT